TATGGGAGAAGCAGCAGCCTTGCAGGCTCTGTGGGTTTCTGGGCAGAGCCAGGACCTGACAGGTCAGAGGGCAGCAGGGGCTCCACACTAACCCTCACCCCTGCTCCAAGCATGGTGCCCACTGGCCTAGCAGGCATGGCCGGGTGACTCAGCCGCATCTGGGGGAGATGCCAGGGCGGTGACTCACCTACCGAGAAGAGCTGAGCCTGGCACTGTGCCAGCCTCAGGACAGAAGCGACTTAGTCACTGCTGGGACTGCGCTGCCCAGCAGGCATGGCCCAGGGACCAGGACGGGGGCAGGCCGGGCCCTCTGCAGTGACTGGCGCCCCCTGGTGAAGCTGGGCCTCTGCAACGACCCTGCAGGGCTGTGCCCGCCCCCATCTCCCGGTCCTGCTGTGGTGCCAAGAAGCTGGTGAGACCCCTGGGCCGCTCTGCCCCCTGCCATCACTCACCACCCACTCTCCTACCTGCCCCACTTCCTCCTGCCACCCAGGTTGTACCCGGGCCGCAAGTCTCCTTTAACGTGTCCTGGCAGCGCCCCTGCCCTCGCCCCTCGTGCCCCACGTACACACACAGGCGCTCACACACACTTCTGCCAGCCGCACTGCCAGCAGCTGTCGGAGCTGTGGAGCAGGGGGAAACCGGGAGGGTGGGGTGCAGGGATTGGGTTTCCAGCCCCAAAGGGGTGGGCCCGTCACCCAATCCCTTCTACACCCTGGCAGGGAGCCCACTTCCCGGGGAGCCCCCACCCCCACTCCACCTAGAGTAGGAAGTAAGTGTTGGATTTGTCATGCTGAGACCAGCCCAGGAGAGGAGAGGAGCTAGGCAGAGACAGACAGACAGACAGACAGACAGAGACAGACAGAAATTCCTGTGCTCGGTGCTCCAGCTGCAACCGACCACTAGGTGTGGATATCTTTGTGTGTGGGAGAGCTGGAAGGGGACAGAGGACTCCGAAAATCCCTGTGGAGCCGGTGGGGCCTGAGGGGAGCTGACAGCCTCAGTCCATTTGCACTATCGATTTCTCACAGCAGTGGGGGACGTGATGAATCAGCCCCCCCCCAGACGGAGCCATGGGGTGGGGGAGGGGCTCCCACACCATAATTTGTGGCCGCGGCAGAAGCGGACAGCCTAGGGGCGGGCTGGCTGGGAGGGGGGTTGGATTAAGGCCTTTCTGGAACACCTCTTCCCAGCTGGGCCCCCGAAGTGAATTGGAAGGAAAAAGGCGGGACAGAGGTACCAGGTCTGCCTGCACAGGGACCTAACAACTCCGGGGGCGTGGTCTGCTCACAGGCCAAGGTCAGGCTTCCCCTGTCACTGGACAACAGGGCAGCGCTCAGGGAGACAGAACGCAGGCTAGATTCTAAGGGGCTGTGGTTAGGCTCCCAATTCTGTCCAGTGCTTCCCAAACTCTCTGGGAACACCCACCCTGCCTCCAGGTGTCAGAGAAGGGATCCCTTTGGACCAGGAATCAGAAACCCATAGCCTGAGCTGGGTGTGGTGATGCGTGCCTTGAGCCCAGAACTAAGGAGGCTGAGGCAGGAGGATCACCACAAGTGTGAGGTAAGCATGGACTATATAGCGAGACCCAAAACTGGAAAAAAAAAAAAGAAAAAAAAAAAAAGAAGAAACCTGTCCCTCCACCCCGATGATCAGCCCTGCTTGCTTCCTGATATTCCTCTGTCCCTAACTGGTCCTGGTCCTGCAGCTGTGGACATGTCCCTGGCCTGGTCCCTGCTCTAATAGGAGGCAGCTGGGAGGGAGGGAGGGACGTCCCCCTCTGTGAGGTGTCTCCGCGCCCCAGTGCTCACCAGCGTGAGTGTGCTGGGCCCTGTCCAGCACCTCTGTTCACACAAGCAGCCGCAGGCCACCCAAACAAACCCCAGTGCAGCCTCCCTGGCCAAACTGTCGCTTCCCGAGAGACCTGCAGACAGGCAGAGAAGGAAAGGGCCACGCGTGTCACAGTGTGTGTGTGTGTGTGTGTGTGTGTGTACACGTGTGCGTACTTGGCCAGTGGACCTGGTGAGGTGGGGTGAGCCACAGTGACCAAGAAGGGCAGCATAAGGGCCCAGGCTCCGTCCTAGTACAGCTAGCAACTGGCAGAGTCTGCACCCCGGGCCCTTCCCACTCCTCACCCACCTGCCAACCCTCACCTCCAACAGCCCCACGGCCTGCCCTGTGCTCCTCTGCACGTCCCTCCTGCCAGGGGACAGGCGACTAAAAATAGTCCCTGCAGCCTTTCTCACCCACAGCTGCCCGGAGAGCAGGAAGTGAGTGGCCAGGGAGGCCCATGCCCAGCCCTCCCCGCCCACTCCTGCTCCTGCTGGTCCAGCACTCCAGCCTGGGGCTGCTGCCAACCTGGCTATCTTGGGGGATCCCACACCCTTCCTGGCCCTCAGTGAGAGCATCTGGAGCTACCTCTGCCCTGCAGGAGGAGGAGAAAGAAGGTAAGTGGTCTGGAGGGAAATCTTCCCAATTCCTGACAAATCAGTGCCAACCACATTGTGGGCACCAAGAGGCCAGGGCCTGGCTTCCCTGACTGGTCTCTGGAGGTTGGAGGGAACTGGCATAGGGAAGATTGTACCAGTTTCCTTCACCCTGGCCAGGCTGGAGGGAAGACAAAATAGTGCCCCAGCCTCAATTATGCTAACCCCCCACTCCCCAAAAATATGTGGATGCAGAGGTAGGGGTTTGGTTAACCACCCTCAGATGTCATGGGGGAAAAAAAAAACCAAAAAGGAGGGCTACCTGCATGTAAGGACAGAAGCCCAGAGGCCAGGACAGGCTAGGCCAGGCCAGGACTACACTGCCCTCCAGCTGAGCTGAGTCAGAGGCCAGGAGGGAGAAGCTGGGGCGCAGGTGCCATCACCCCGTCTCACCTGGGATGCCTGACGCCTCCTCCCAACACCAGGGAGGCAGGAAACCAGCCCAGCCACTCTCTGGAGACCCTGGAGGCAGCCCCATTCCAGGAGGCGGACAGGAGGGAAACCAGGAGTCCTGGCGCCCAGCCCAGAAAGAGAGTGAGCGAAATAGCTTAGCGAGGAAAGACACAGACCTGGGGTGCCACCCGCAGCTCCCAGATGTGACCCACAGGAGGTTCTAGGCCAAAGCACCAGCCGAGGAACTGCAGGACAGGAGAGGAGATCGTGGCCAGTTCAGAGTCACAGGCCCTGACGTCTGCCATGAAGCAGGCTACCATGTGTCACCGGGTCCTCCGTGCCTGACGCAAGTGTTTCCCTCAGCCTCCCCTCCGGCCCATCCCCTGCTGCTGGCCGAGCTGCCCCTGGCACCCCTCCCCTGGGGCCCAGCCAAGCGAGGAATCAGCAGGCCCACGGAGGCACTGAGAGCCCGGGCAGTGCCAGGGCAGCACCTCCTCCCACCCGCCCCCTGGAAGCCGCAGCACGATCTCAGCTGTCGGATCCGATTAGGGCTCCTGGCCAGTGAGCCGGACAAGGAGGCCACTGGGTAGGGAGGGACACATACAAGGACAGAGGAGCAAGCATGGCCGGGAAAGGTGGGGACAGGGCTCGGGAGGAAGCAAGAACCTGCTGACCACAGGCGACAGTGACCATATGCAGGTGGGGGTTTCTGCAGACCCGGTGCATCATCCGGGCCTGGTGTCTCCAGCCCCCCAAGGGCGGGGATGCTGGAAGGGAACGGGAGGCAGGCGCGGGAAAGGCACGGACGTGACCACCCAGATTCGGGAGAGGCGCCCACCCTTGAGCCTGCCAGCCTGACTCCTGCCTGCACTGCACTTTCCCTCGCATTACAGGGTTGGGGGGCTATGTGAACCACTGCCCCCAGCAGGACCCCACTTCAGGCCTCAGATGCCCACTCCACTCGAATCCCCACCCACTTTTCTTCTTCGATCACAGGCAGAACGGAGTCCGAAGCCTCTCTGCCATTCCACCTACCCTTTCTGCCCAGCCCAAACTACCCCCGCAGGGACACATAGCACACCCTGCCACACACGCACACACACACAGGGACTCCCTCCAAGGGAGTCCGGTCTCCTCGTCACCCTCTCCCAGCCTGCTACCCCAGAGGTGAGACACCGCACCGCGAGGTCATTGGCCCTTCCTGTGCCCCCACCCGGCCTGAGGGAAATGCCCAGGGTCTTCAGAGAGCAGGGCCTGCCAGCCACCACGGGAGAGAGAAACAAGCCAGCGTCAACAGTGGGTGCCATCCAGTCCTCTCCCAGCACGCCTGCAGGGGGCGGAAACCCGGGGACCTCCCAGCTCTGGGGTAACACAGGAGCCAGAGGAGCCCAGGAAGCTGGCAGGGCTGTGTGACCTCCCTGGTCTGCCCACACGCCCTCCCCAGCCATCTGGGCCGTCGTCTGCCATCCCTCCAGGAAGCTCCGTCCAGAACTTACTGCCACCCGGCCTCACGGTCTGCACACACACACACACACACACACACACACACGCAGGGCAGGGGTTCTGCAGGACATGTGAGGTGTTGGCAAGGGGGGAGCCTCTAAGAACTTTCCCCAAGAAGGAGCTCACCCAGGCTTAGATTTCCCCGACGCCTCCAGCACAGCCCTTGGCCACCCAAGCGGGAAAGGAGCCTTTGGGGGACATGGGTCCCCCTACCAGGAAGGGAAGGGGCTTGGGGGCCAAGTCCTGCCTGATCCCCAGGCTGGGAGTGGAGAGGAAGCAGGCGGAAAGCCCGAGCCCCCAGGACCCTGCTGCCCGTGCTGCACCTGGGGGAGTGGGGGAGGGGTGGGCAGCACCGCAGAGCGGGGTGCAAGGGCGTGGGGCCTGGGCGGGCTCCCGCTCCCGCCCTCGGGGGACCCAGAGGGGCCCTGGGGTGCAGAGGCTGGAGCTTGCAGACTCCCCGCCGTGTTGGGGGTGCCCACCCCAGGACTCCAGGGAGCGGTGGGGGAGGAGGGGTGGGCAAAGCCTGAACTGGGGAGGAAGAAACGGCAAGAGAGCAGCCAAGGGACCTAGGCGAAAGGCGGCCGCGGGAGCCCCGCAGAGGGGTGTGCGGGGTCCTACCTGCTCAGGTGCGTGCCGGCAGGGGGTGCCGGGGTTCCCGGGAGGACGGGGAAGCCCTCTCAGCTCGATTCAGGGTTCCCCCCGGCTCCTGCTTAGGCTGCTGCAGGAGCACAGGCTCCCGGCGGGTCCTAATGCCCACCCTCCGTGCTAGGCTCTCCCCGCCCCCGGCGGCCCTGACTAGGTCAGCGGGTGCAGCGTGGAGACTGGAGGGGAGAAGAACCGGCGGCAAGAAGAGGGCCCCGGGCCAGGATGGGACGGGAGCCGGGAAAGATCCCTGGGCTCAGACACAGCCTATGAATGACGGGGGCTGAAGACAGGATGGCAAGGGATAGGAGGACAGAGACGTTGGTTCTTGCCTGAGGGGCGCAGGGACATTGGGTTTGGGCTGGAGATGAGGTTTAGGTCTCTGGATTATATCCATGCCTAGAATTGGCCAGGCCTGTTGTAATCCTGGCACTCAGGGAGGCTGAGGCAGGAGGATCACCATAAATTTGAGGCCAGCCTGAACTATATAGTGAGACCTCGTCTCAAATAAATACATGCAAACAGACAAACAAAAAGCCAAAACAAAACCTAGAAATGGCGATTGCCAGTAGTCAGGATGTAGAAGGCAGAGGTCAACTAGCTCCCCGACTCAGCTCTCACAGGGTCCTGAGCCTTTGTGAACAGAATGAGGGTGTCAGCAAGTGCTTCCCCGGGGATTATTTGAATAAATATAGGGGGCAGAGGAGCTTCTGGTTTCTGCTTTTTGAGATAAGGGTCTTGCTATGTAGTCTAGGCTGGCCTCAGACTTAATATGCAGCCCAGGCTGGTCCTGAATTCAAAGTGATTCTCCTGCCTCAGCCTCCTGAGAGCTGGGATTACAGGTGTCTCACCATGCCTGGCCCAGAGGAGCTTTTTTAAAGTGCAGAGTCATTGACCCCAGAGTCTTGTGAATGCTGTAGAAGCACCTGAGGGATCAGCTTCAAGGCCTCTGGCTCAGTTTAGGGTCCCAGCTTTCTCTGTGGCTCAAAAAGTAGCCTTCAGGTTTGCAGAGCAGGCAGGCAAGGGAAAAGTGGGTGAAAGTTTGCACAGCTTTGGTCTGAGAATTCCTGTGCTGGGGGTGGTCCTGGGAATTGAACCCAGGGCCCTTGCACTGAACTACATCCCCACCTTTTTCTGGAGACAGGGTCTCTCTATGTCACCCAGTGCTCAGGCTGAACCTTGAATTTATGAGCCTCCTGCTTCAGCCTCCCAGAGTGCTGGGGCCATAGGTGTTCCCCACCAGGCCTGGCTGGACTGGGAAGATTTTGCAAGGAGAGTTGCATATTCTCTCTGGGAACAGAGCAAATGTCATGGGGTGAAGGGCCGGGGGAGGCTGCTTCTCCTCAGAAGGGGAGAGGGCACCGCGCCTCCGCCCTTCTGGTTTGCAGGAAGAAGCTGGGGCCAGGGGCCAGGAGCAGACAGCCAGCCCCTAGGGCCCAGGGGCGGAACCGGGGGTGAGCTTAGGTCAGGCTTCTCACCCGAATGTGCCGGGTTCTGTCCCGGCTGTTAAACAGGGCTCCCTTCTTCCCAGGCAGTTAATGAGTGTTTACAGAGGGCTCCCAACTCTCAGGTCTCAGCTGGGCCCAAGACGGGGAAACGGGCTGGTGCTGTTTGGGGAGGGGAGGACGGAAGAGGCCACGCTGCCACGGGATGTCCTCGTGCCCAGGGATGGTGGCCACCCCCCCAGCCCTCACCACCACCCAGGGCCCGGCTCCAGCTAGCTGGAGGCGGCACCCAGACGCGCGGGCATATGGTCTTCATTAGCTCCAGCGCCCGCACCCCCACAGCGGACCCGAACCCCAACCCAAACCGCAGCTTGTGGGCTCCGGGGCCCCGGGCCTCGCAGCTGACACCCAAGTCCGAGCGCGGCTGCCTTTTCCCGTGGGGGCCAGAGAGAAAGGGGGAGGTAGTGGGGGTGAGAATTTAAGGCAAACAGCAGGAGTGAAGTCAGCTGGACGGAGGCCCAGAAACCCCCACACCCCGGGGCCAAGTCTTACTCCGGCTCCGCTCCCGGCTCATCTTGGCGAGGCCCCAGACTAGGGAAGGCCCTGGCTGCCCCGTCCGCCTCCCCGCCCCCACCCTTATTAAATACACATTTTATCTCTCAGCATCTTCATTATCTTAACCGGAGGAGACACGCGGTGGATGGTGGCAGCGGCGCGTCAGGGGCGGAGAGCGGGGAGGGGCGCGCCCGGGTAGGAAAGTGCTGATCCAGCTCTTTCGGGCAGTGTGGGAAACGGAGCGGGATCAAAGCGCGCCGGGCTGATTCAGAACTCAATTAGGGCTTTTTCAAAAACGGAGCGGCCCGGCTCCTTTTCGCCGGTCTTCAACCTTTCCTCAGGCCCCGTGCGCCCGATGAGCTCCCCCTGCAGGTGCCTAGGGGCCGTGGAGGGGCGCACCCTCGACCCGGCCCGCCAAGGGGCCTCCCGCGAGCACCCCAACAACATGTTTCCGCAGGAAATGGGACCGGGCTGGCCCCAGGTACGGGGCAGTCGAAGGTGGGCTCCTTCCCGGTCCCTGCCAGCTCCGGGGGAGCCCGGGAACATTCAGACGGGCACAGGCCAAGGCTGGCGCCCCGAAGCCACGTGGAAGGTGCCCGAGGGGGGCCCTGCTACAGCAGAGGGGGTGGTCGTGTGGCGCGTGTGACCTCTGAAGGCCAGCACCCCTCCGCCGCGAGGCTGCTCCCCGTCAGCTCCACGGGGACACCAAAGGGGTTTCCCCCATCGTGTGCAAGGGCAGAGCCAGCGATCTCGGTCCCTTCACGTGGCCCCTGCTCAATCAGCCAGTGCTCAGCAGGTACCCTAAGTGCTGGGGACTCGCAAATGCAGAGGAGGCTTGGTGTGCAGGGAGGTCGTGGGATCGAGCCTCAGGATGCTGAGGGAGCCTCAGCCTGGCCCCTTTCTCTCGGTAGATTTTTGAAAATCCGGCCAAAGTCATATCATTTTACTTTCTGCTTTTTTTTTAGGGCGGAGGGCACTGGAGACTGAAAGCACGGCCTCCACACTGAGCTGCCCTTTTTAGTTTTTCTTTTCAGACAGGGTCTCGCTAAGGTGCCCAGGCTGGTTTGCAAGTCCCCCTGCCTCAGCCTCCCACAGTGACACTTCCTGTAATGGTCTGTCTTCAGCAGCTCTGGTGAAGCCAACACCAACTTCACCGTGTCTGTGTTCTTTCCATGGGTGATAACCACCGCTCCACGGAAGCACAATCTATTTAAAACAAAAATGATAAATAAATCGGGACACAGCCACGCCCTCAGAAGGGAGAACGGTCAGCACCTTTGCCACGAACCCACGGGCAGTGGTCCCAGACCCTGGCAAAAGCTCCCAACCGCAGGCCCGGCCATCCCACGAGCCCTCCAGCCACACGGGGCTTCAGCAGCAGGGGACTTTCTTCTTTTCCTCCTGGCTGGCTGGCTGAATTACACTTAAGACTTCACTGACAAACGTACATCAGCTTTTGTTCCCCAAAGGGCGGCAGGAGCCAGGCGGGGACCGCATCTGCTTCACGCATCACTGACAGAGCCAAGCCTGCTCCAGTTGCTGAAGTCTTAAGAGTAGCAATGACCTAGAAATTGATGGCGGGGGATGCAGGAAAGAGATCAACAAACCAGCCCCAGAAAGCCCTTTCCAATAGCAGGCGAAGGACAGGGGAGGGAGGGAGAAGCCGAGTCCAGCCCTGTCCTGACTCCGAGGAAGGTGCCAGGCCTCCAACCCAGCAAGGTGGAGGCTGCCTGCCTGCTCCTCTTTGGGCAGGATCCTACTGTGGACCCAGGACAGACAGCAGCTGCCCACAGTGTGGAAACAAACTGTCAAACAGTCACGTCTCTTAAAGGCTGCAGCATCCAATAAAACGTAATTTAAATCAAGCCTGCATCTGTTCTCAATCCTACCAGTCTCTGCCTCCGGACAACCCTTGCCTACTCCCGTTAACCCTTCAGGCCCCGATGCAGCGATGGGGCCCAGAGCTCCCTTGCAGGCCCGGATGGCCGCGGGGCTCTAACCCGGGAGGGGCTGCTGCTCCTTCCAGAGCGCCCCTGCCCTCCTATCCTCGCCACCTGCTGCAGCACAGATCGCTTACATGAGGGCAGTGGGCAGAGAGAACCGCCAGCAGCCTGCGGATCACCTGTCTGCCTATCAAATTCCCACGTGAGGCCGGGCCGCACCACACAGGCAGAGAGGACGAGACAGTGCGGCCCTCCCAGCACCCCGAGGAAGATGGCTCAGGCCCTTCTGCCCCTTCCCTCCGGAGGATGGGGCCCCGAGCCTGCACTTTCCAAAGTGTCATCATGGTGCCCTCTGGTGTCTCTGCCACAAAGTGCCGCGATCACCACTGCAAACCAATCCCCGGGGAGGAATCTGGGGTAACCATACCGATCAATTCATCCCATTCAATCAGACCCATGGGAAATGCGCGCTGGGGGAAGCCTCAGGCGGAGTGGACCCACCCAGTCTAAGCTCACCTACGTTGTGACGGCTTAAGAGGACAAAGAACGCGATTTGAAAATAAATATATTCACAACATGTAGTTACATTCTCCTTACCACCCCTCCAGGTTAGGCGCACCCCCAAATTCCATGAGTTTTTAGACTGTCACAGCCTGGCCATCTGTGACAGTTACACTACAGAGAAAAACTCCTTGACCCGAGGGTCCTTCTGACCTGCACAAGCTTAGCTTATTTTTCTGCATCACTCGGGGTCCTTCTCGGCCTGACTTCGAAGTCCTTAAGGAAACACATAAGGTCTGAGGGAGCTTGGCGGTACACGTGTATACACCGCACAACAGAAACCTGTGTGCTTACAAAAATACTGGCTAAAGACACTCAAGCGGGAGAGGTAGTGAATACAATTTAAAAAGGATCTATTACTTTTTTTTTTTTTTTTTTTT